AGTCTCCGCTTTCATAATTATTATTATTTACTCTGTTCTTACACTGAGCTCTCTCTGCATCTATATCTTATTTTGAAATTATCCATACGGATTACCAAATAATATTATCATCTATCTCTCTCATATATATATATATATATATATATATATATATATACACACACTTGTGTGTGTGTGTTACTATTAAAATTATATTTAGTAGATATACGTGTTTAAGTAAACCTCCCTGGCACTTTTAAAACAGTGAAATTAACACCTATCAACCTGGGCAATAAAAAGTTTCCCTAAAGAAAATGTGTTTTTCTTTCTGTGATAAGCTTTTTGATTAGCCATAACAGTAGGCATCAATCTCACTTCTTTCTTTTTTTTAATTGTTTCACCCCCAAGTGAGGTGATGATGCCACTAAGTCACCGAGGGGAGGGGGGAGTATGAGAGTAAAAGAGAATGAGAAGACTTTAGAGATAAAAAAAAAAAGAAAGAACAATAAAAGAACAGGATTCAAGAAGACAGAAAATTACAATTGACATTGCACTTCAATTTTTGAAGAATGCAGGTGGCGAGGAAGCCGAAAACTGGAAGAGAGTTCCACAGTTGAGAAGTGCGAGAAAAGAAACTATTAGAATAGAATTTACAGTTACATCTAGCTATTTCAACAGTAAAACAATGAGACCTAGTTGCCAATCTAGTACTGTGCTTAAATTCATGCAAACAAGATACCAAAGAGGTGAGCTCATTACAACAATTGCCATGAAATTATTTAAAGAAAAGAGAGGGAATTTACAACACAGCAGTTGGAAAGTGACTGAAGCCGAGATGCCAGGTCAGGACCGATAACATTACAGACCCTTTTTTGGATTTTGTTGAGAATCTCGAGATATATAACAGGAGTTCCAAACCAGATGTGGCATCAATAGCCAAGGCATGGATGAGTGGTAGACTTATAAATGTGCAAGATGAATTCAGACAAGAAAAATTATCTGTCACACTACAGTAAACCAGTTTTCCTAGCAAGAGACTTAGCAATTAATTCAATATAATTGCTCCACTTCATGTCAATGGAAAACATGGGACCAAGAAGATGCAAAGAGTTGCTCTTTGGAGGTTAGCATCAGCCATGCTGATGGAGGGTTAAAATGGTTCCTTATGATAATTAAAAGATAGCAATTTCATTTTGGAGGCATTAAAATTTACAAGCCATTTCTTGCTCCAGATAACAACTGATTGAAGATCATCTTCAAGATCACTTTCCGTTTTACTTTATTGGACCTATCAGATTTGATATTAAGGCAGGAGAAAATATTTGTATCATCAGCATAAATACTGAATTGGGAACGTAAAAGAAAACAGGGATGTTTCCTCATACACACTAAATATAAATTTTATAGTTATAAGAAATAATAGTGTATTAAAAAATCCATTGTTTGGAGAGAGAGAGATGTGTGTGTGTGTGTGTTATTCTACATTTATGTTTTCAAGCTAAAATTATTAGACGTTATTATATAAAATTTCAAATGCTATTTCTTCTTCAAAAATCATTTGTAATGCATATTTTCCAAATAAAACTTCAATTTTTTTTTTTTTTTTGGGGTTCATCATAATACTATTAAACAAATCAGACTAATAGCCAAGGGGAGCCAGACAGACATAAATAAGTTCAACAGTAAAACTTTTATGCAAGGTAAATCATCATTTAAGAATGTTATTAAAATAAATTTAGCAAATTGATTTTAGTTGTTAAAATGCAAAAGAATGTAAAACAAGCCATTTTGATTTCCCACTAGCTAGACATACATAAAATATATTTTATTTCCAGTTCTTTTTTTGTTTTGTTTTTTTACACTAAAAATAGGTGTTTACACTATACACAGGTAATTTTTTTGAAGAGGTTAAAAATCGTACATCTTTGGTGACCAATTGCACTATAAACAGGTAATTTATTATGGAGCAGTTAAAGTATATGAAAAAAAGTTCAGGGGTCACACTATACATGAGATCAGCTTGGATAGACAAAACTGTTCAGAAGGCATTGATAAGTGTGCTAGCACAAAATCACAAGTCATTATGATCAAGGGTGTGAGTGTACGAGCCTTGTTCAAACTGGTGATCAAATCAGATGAAGTCTCTCCCAGAAAACTGTAATTAAGCATAGTTGCAGAATAAACCACAAGAAACACAGATGTGCCTGAGAAAGCATCTGCAACAGGGATTTGCTATCCACCCTAGCAGACAGCTATACTTGGATATGATCAACTGTAGAGACATATATATATATATATATATATATATATATATATATATATATATATATATATATATAATTATTTATTTAAAATATGATTCACAAATCCCTAGCATAAGAGGTACATGTTTTCCAAAAGAATAATTTTAAAAGATAGATGGATATAATCCTTTTAATAATTGAGTTGAAATTAAAATGGGCATATTCTAGCTTTTGGAATAATATGTAAAGATTTACTTGTTTTAAAAATTGAAATCATGACCCATGCCCTTTTGATGCCCATGAAAAAATTAACATTATTAAACTTCTAAATAATAATAATCTATTAAATAATAGACACGTCAACGGTTTTTTTTTGTAGGCATCATCAGATTTTTGGTTTGAATTATTAGATAAAAAAAAAAAAAAAATTTATATAACTTGTTTAACAAATAGCCTAATCATCAGATTCATAGTAGGATTAATTAACTAAAACATGCATATAACATAACACCCTTCATAACCCATAGCCCAAATTAGTTTTAAATACTTACATAAAAGATAACCTTTTATGAAGTCGTCAAAAACAAACATTACGAAAGTTTTTCTTTTTTATATGCACAATTCCCTTTCATAATAAAATAAAATAAATAAATAAATTCCATAGACAAGCAAACTTGATGAAGGTTAATACATCTTCCGTTTCATTTTAGACACCCCACCTTTCCCCGACTTGACACCTTGAAAGTATTCTATACCGCTACTTATTATTAACACCCTACATTCGCCTACCCAATTTAGACAATTCACCCTAGCTGTTACTATGGGGATTTTGATTTCAATTTTTAAAACAAGTAAATTTCAGATATACGTTATTCCAACAAAATTTTCGCTTGAAGATGGAACGGAGCCCATTTTAATTTCAACTCAATTTAATTTAAAGGATTATATTGAAGCTTTCGCCTTGTTTTGAAACATGAGACCTTTATGTAGCGATTTGGAATCATATTTTTAAATAAATAATTATATTTATGCTCTACTTTTGTATCGAGCACTATTTTTTAAAAATAATAACTAAAATACTAAGGACTTTTGGATTATTTATCTAACCAGTTCCTTCCTATTTTCTATATATTTTCACATATATATATATATATATATATATATATATATATATTATTATTATTAATTAAAGAATATCAAATACTTAAAATCCCATAGGTAATAATTTTTATTTCATGAGAGCTTTAAAAAAGAATTTCATTTGTTATTTTGTTTGTAGGCCTTGAAGATTGAGAGCTGCTTTTTTTTTTAAAGCTCTTATGAAATAAAAATTATTACCTATGGGATTTTAAGTGTTTGATATTCTTTAATTAATAATAATTTTGCTCTGTCTTTTGACATAGAGCTCTCCCTGGATCTATATCCTCCTGGGAATTCCATACAGATTACCATATTGTATCCTTACTGTGTATAACTTAAATTAAAAAACAGACAACCTTAAGGGTCCATAGATTATATTTTATTTCCCCAGGAATGGGATTTTATTTTCCTGGTTTCTCAGATCACATTTTCAAGCATAAAAGAAAATGGTTTAAAAATTTACATATTATTATTTTTATACATGTTTTTGAGGGGTAGTTTTAAGTTGTTGTAAGGTGATAGAGAGAGGGAGAGGAGGACGATGATCGGTATGATCAAAATTAGAGAGGGATGGGAGTGATAGGAATATGTTTAAATCTATCTTTTTTAAGATACGTAAGGGTGGTAGGGTAAGGTGCCAGAAATTTTGACCTATTTAACAAGTCTTTTCACAAGAAAAGGAAAGAAGACAAAGAAAAAAAGTGAAGAAAAGAGATAAGACCTAATATAAAACAAATAGGGAAGCAGGGTTGTGTCGGGAGGGAGAAAGAAGAATAAATTATCAAATATAGGCATATTGCGGTTAATTTAAAAAATACAGATTAATTATAATTTACAGTTAACACTTGACATTACTTTAAAGATTACCTACAAAATAAAATAATATATATAATGCTGGATGTAAATCTGATGGTAAAAATATAAACCAATTTAGAAACTTTAATTTGATATACTTTTCAGAAGAATTGGCATCATCAGTAAAAAAAAAAAAACAACAAAAAAAAACTTATAATTTTTGGTTCAACAGGAAAATATGTTAAATTGAAGTTTATAAAATTGTCTCATGTCCAGAAATATAGTCATAATTATAGGGTTTTTATCTTGCTAATTCGTAAATCATTTCAATTAATAACTAAGCTATATTACAGTAAATAGCAAATTATATACAAATTCATTGTCCAGAGGAAAGAAAAAGTACAAAAAAAAAATTGTTCATTTTTCATACAAAATGATATTTTTAATTTTAACAAGATACATTCTTTGTAAAATAAAAATTTTATAGAGACTTCAGCAGAAATACCTTCCACATAATTATAAGATTGCTAGATGAAGATATTAATGCCACTAATATTTTACCATTATGTGGAAGGTATTTCTGGCACACTGTGTATAAACTTACATTTAAACTTAGTGCTGATAAAATTTATCATAAAATATAGTCCTGAGTTAAGATATATATCTTCCATCACCCCAAGTTACTCATTGGTACATTATTACCCACTGGCTTCCTTTGGCAATTTGCCTAACCTCTATTCAGTTGATTTGCATTTTGGCTTGATTAACATCTTAACTCATTGCATTAGTCTCAAGTATTTGTTTGCATGTGGAAAACATTCCTTAATCTTCTTCTCTTTTTAGGGTGAAGCTCTTGTTTTTGCTCCAACCAGAAAAAACAGTTTTAATGAATTTCTCCAATTAGCGTCTTCAGTATTTTTTTGTTCTGTTGTTGAAAAGTATGATGATGTTGTTTGGAAGAGTCACCTTGAGGTAAGTCGGCCATGTTTGACATTGCAATTTGCTGTGGTACAAACCAAATCCTTTTGAATCCCTTTTGTGATAAACTTCTCTCCCCCCCACCTACACTCTACCAGTTGTCTTTAGAATCCCATTTGTGGTGCTGATACCTCATCTCCATCTTTAAAAATATTTTGCCATCATGTTTTGAATGCCAATTATAATATAGCTCCTCTTACTGCCATCTTTTGATGCCATCTGTGGTAAAGATGATTCACCATAATTCTATGTATAGCTTCATTTTTCAAAATTTTAATTAGGTAAATTTTCCTGATTTTTTTTTATATCCCAGCTTCACACAGTTTAATCCACAGATGATTTTTTGATTACTTCGAATATCCCCCCCCATTGCATCCACTAATTAAATTCCTAGTTAATTTATAACCTGGCAAAGTCCCTCATCTTTGGTGGGGCTATTCAATTTGACTACCACTAAACTAACAAATATTATACACTGAAACTAAAAAAACATTTAATACTTCTAAATGCCAATTTCTCGAAGACCATCAAAGTTTTGATTAGGAAAAAAAAAAAACAAAATCAGTAAGGCACTAGAACATAGGATATTGTGGAAAAATGAAATAAAATCGATAAATATAATAATAATAATGAGTAATAAAAAAGAAAAGAAAAATAAATTCATTTTCCCATGATGCTAAGAGTAAAGGAACCAAAAATATAATTACTCTATTTGGTTTTGCCTAACTTTGTTAGGTAGCATTGTTGAAGCCTATAAAAAGACCACGCTCTTTTTCTCCTCTTTGCTCCAAGATGTAGAACTATGTAGTAATTACACTTCCACTGGGGAATCTAAGTTTCCTCGATCCACTGACACCTGAACTCTCTTCACACTTTCCAACACATGGCACTCACATATGTCTTCCAAAAACCTCAACCTGTGAAGTGTCATTTTTTCTCTTTGGTTGTTCCAACTCAGTGCAAGGCTGATTGGAGCACCACCATAGTAACGATGTTCATACTTACTTACACTAACTTCTGAACCAAGTGAAAGAAAACGGACATTCCATAACCATGTTTAAATCTCTCAGTGATAAAGCAAGTAGAAACTTTGCTTTGGTTGTTTAAATGCTGAGCAAGCCTGACTTGAGCCCAACCATGAATACAACACTTGTACTTACATAGCCTAACTTCTGAACCAAAAAGAACCATGCATGACAATCAAAATGCTGTGTTGATTCCTATGTCCATACTGTTTATATCTATAAACACTATCTCTAATACTGTGTACTCTTCTCCTATAAATATAGCAAAATTTAAACTATATATTTTCTTCATATATATTGTTGAAATTTTGCTATATTTATAGGGGAAGAGTACTCGGTATCAGAGATAGTGTTTATAGATATAAACAGTATGGACATATACTTATCCCCACATTGAACATATATAGGACAGCATCTGAGTTTTCCACCAAAAATTCTTGCTGTATTGCATCAGCAATGCAAGCATTCAGTGGTAATGGTATTATTAACCATTTCCTTATATGGAAACATTCACCATTCATTGTCCAAGTACTCTGTACTATTGTCCACTGAAATTTATAAAATCTTTTATTCAAACAATTTTTCAGGAAAATCAGTTTCTCAAGTCCACTGTTATTGCTCTTATTGATGGGGGCTTCCTTCCTAATCTTTTGTTTGAAGTATTGTAGAATGTCAACATCTTATGCCATTATTTTCTCATCAAGTTACATGCTCTATCCATTTTAGTTGTTGCTGCTGTTGAAATTCCTCAAGAAAATGTGGTTTCTATTATTTGTTATGGTTCTTGTTTGTGATTCTGTAGCACCAGTTGACATGGTTTGAAGAAGGATAGTCCTCTCTAAGACCTACAAACTTAATTTTTAATCATTGATCTGAGGAAGCAATTGTATACAGTTGACAGTTTAGATATTTCTGAATGGGCTGGGCATCATGCATGACATCCATATGAAAGTCTAGAAAGAGGTATGGATATATGTAGAACTGAATTGTATTCATCATCTGAACAATCATGAGCATGTGAGAGTACAAGGTTTGCATTAATGCCCATGAGGCATAGACAGTGTACTAATATGGAGTCTGGGAATAGTCATTTACTATAATCCAGCTATATGAAGTGTATGTTTAGTAAAACACATATTCAGGTTACTGCAATTTATTTTCCATCGGTGTGTGTATGTGTACACACACACACACATATATATATATATATATATGAGAGAGAGAGAGAGATACATATATGAATTGGGATCAAATACAGATTAAATATGGATTGGAATTTGACAATGTTAGGATAAAGAACAAATCAGAAACGTTTATAAATTTAACATGTTTTGCTTTTATTAAAGCTGCACAAGAGAATGAGATATGGAAAGAAATTTCTGATATTTTTATTTATTTTTTTTTTGTTGATGTAAAACATGTTGATGACCCCCAAACATGAATAATGTCTAACAGACACACACACACTATATATATATATATATATATATATATAATCATCTGAATTCTACATAAACAAACATGAATTATGATACACTTACACACATAAACTATACACACGAATGCTGCTTGACTATTCAAATGCACATGAAGTCTGATTGACAGATTTATTTTCTATGACTTATCAACCCATTACAGGTTATTTAAAGCCAGAAAATATTTTTAGATTGTAAGAATTTTTTTTTTTTTTGATAATAATGGTTTAGTGATACAAATCTTACTAATTAAGCCATAACTGGAGGGAGAAGAGGTGGATTCATACTTTTCCCTATGAGTGTTTGAGTATAAGTGAATAAAATAAACCCAATTGGTACTCAGCTCTCTGATTAACAATTCCAAGTCATTATCCATTACATCACTCACACCTCCAACATGGTATTCCTAAGTGGTCACCCATCTAGATACTGACCAGGATTGATATTGCTTAACTTCAGTGATCATACGGGAACCAGACTTTCAATGTGATGTGACCAGGATTCATTATTGGCAGCCACAGTCTTAACAACATTAGACATGCAGAGGGCACAGTGTTGATAGCAGACACAGAAAGGAAACTACAGGAACTCCTACAGAAGGTGATAAAAGAAAGCAAGAAGAAAGGACTAAGCATCAATTATAAGAAGAGAGAATGTATGGTGCCTTGAAAAAGGAACAGCTCAATATGCAAATTACAAATTGGAGATACCAAAATCAAGCAAATATGTAGGAAATGTGCTAACAGAAATCAGAAAATTTAATACTGAAGTCCAAAGGTGCATTAGGATAGCAAAAGATGCCTTTCAAAAGCTAAGCAAAGTATTAAAATTCTGTTAGAAACAAAGAATACTGAACTGTTATCCAATATCTGTCCTCCAATATGGCAATGAATATTAGACAATCTCCTTAGAGAAATGTGGTTCTACTGAAGAATGCTGAAAATACCATAGACTGAAAATGTGAGCAACAAGGGTTTAGAGAAAATGGAGACAAAAAAGAAACATCAGAATGATATAGTTCAAATTTCTAGGGCACATAATGAAAATTTGAAGACTTGTGTAAATGGTTAGCAGAACAGGGATTAGGAGAGATAGCCCCAAAGACAAACTTTATTAAGAGCTACAAAGGATAGGAAGTTGTGGAGAGTCATTATGGCCCATGTCCTGAAGGGACACAGCACATAGAAGAAGAAGAGTCAGAGACTTCTTTTTTCAAATGAATTAAGGGTCATCTATAAAAGACAATCTTCCAGGATACTGAATTTCAGGTAATCAAAAATCCCCCCACCTTTTTTTTATTCCTACTTCATGCTACTTTAATAGTCATCATGTATTTAACTTTTATTATCAGGATAAAAAAAAAAAAATAATATGACAACTGATCAAAAACAATGAATAAAAATATCAACTTGTAGAAATCCTTCTACTCATTTTTTCATTGAATGTTAAAATTCAGAGTGTTGGGATTCGATACAATAACAAAATATTGTTGTGGAGTTGCTTGTAATTCAAACTTTTAGAATAATCACATGATTTTCATTGAAAGAATAAAATTCAGTAGAAAAGACAATCTACTTTCAACAAATAAACATTAATTTAATATAATGACAAGAATACAAGATATGGTGATAGATTGGAAAATAATGTCTTTTTGTTTGGGTTGATAATGTTCTGAAATAAAATATAAATTGTCTGTGTATGTATGTGAGAAGCAATGAAATGTTGTTATATATGTGTTTGTATGAAAAAGTCAACACATGTGTGCATGGTTCATAGTAAAGAGGATACAAGAGATAGTTAGAAATTGTTTCTTACTGTTGGTAGTGTTGCCGTAGTCTAAAGTTTATCAACGCTGTTGCTTTTAGCATGAGGTGATGAAGATCATAAGCAAGAGTTGCATGGAGCTTGGTGACAGCTGTGTGTATCCTGTTTGGGGCCGGATTTCATATATTTTTATAAAGTTTTTCATAACAATTACATTATTTCTTCCTAATTGGCCCTAAAAAGCCACATGGTATGTCTTCTATTACATCCACACAATATTTTGGCAGTATCTACCTAAATCATGATGACAAATACAACAAAATTTCTGATTTGTATTCTATGATTTTACTGGTGCATTTTAAGATGTAAGTATTTTCTTGGGTGTGATTGGTTTATAACTAGTGTATTTGATATTTTAGGGGACACTACAAACTCAACTGGTTGCCAACTGCAGCTTTTATTGTTCTCTCTCCTTAATAGTGTTTTTCTCTAACACTTAGTAACCCCTTGCATCTTAGTGGCTTTGTCACCTTGCTTGGGGTGAAATAATTGAAAAAAAAAAAAAAAAATGAAGAAACATTCTAGATTTTGTTTTCTGAATTTTGGAATTTTTTTGTCTTTCCAGATGCTTTCCCAATCTTCTGGTGTCTATGAAAAGGATCTTCACTACCCAATGCTGTTATTGTTGCAGAAGACAGAAGCGCCCACCGAATGAAGATCAAGAATCAACATAATCCAGCTATCTATATAGTTGATGACAATGTCAACATAAAAAAAAAGAAAGAAAATAGCTTTGTCCTGTCTTGTTACCATCAACAATAGCACTTGACCAATGAAAGATCAAGATTGATTTTAAAAAAAAAAAGAAATCTTTTGATGGGTAAAAGAAAATTTCAAAGAGTAAAAAAGAAAAGGTTTTTGTTTTGCTTTTTAAATTGCAGGAGAAAAAAAAAGCCCATTTTAATATAACGGCTTTTATGATGTTCTTGTATGAAATGTCAGATATGTTTGATAATAGTGTTTGAGGCCAGCCTTGTGGTTGAAATAGTTGTGTTTCTCACTGGCACCAAAGGTCAGGGTTTCAAATGCTCATTTTAATGACACAGACAGACACTCCTTACTAGGAGGATTGGTGCAACACTATGTCCCTACTCCCTATATTAACCCCTCCCGACACATGTTATTTGGAACTGTGCTATACTCAGCCAAGCTTACTTGGCAACATATCCAAGAACTATTCATGATTTTCTTACTATTTTTTGAGTGTTTACTGAGAAAAATTATAGCTACCTGCAACATCACAGACTTGCATAACTTGAAATTTATATATATATATATATATATATAAAGTATTGTATCAATAACTTCACAGCCTAATACATAGAAATTAACTTCATTTTGATCTGAAATTTTCACTGTATAATATTTGATCTATGTGATTATTATTTGCTACTGAATTAAGTGCATTGATGAGGAAGGAAATTATGTTTAAAAAAAACAATAGGTATTGTGATATAAAATGTCTCTTTCATTAAGCTGTGGGCTTATTGATATGCCTAGTTGCACAACCCACATATAAATAATATATATATATATATATATATATATATATATGGGACAAAGACACATGAAAGGAGAGATTAATAAGTCCATAGCCTTATACATAGCTGAATTTTTTATCTGAAATTTTTGTTGTATAATTTGTGGCTGTTAATATTTCAAACTGAATTAAGTTTGTTAAGTTTGTTGAGTAAGGAGGGGATTATGTTGAAAAATGAATATTTGTTTTATGAACTGCTTTTGATATTATTTGGCTGTGAATTTATTGATGTATGCATGCATGCGTGTGTGTGTGTGTGGTTGTGTATGTATACAACTGTGCATATATGCCCGTGTAAAAGTAGCCGACACAAAATATGTTGATACATCATTCCATGTTTTGATTCTTTAATAATTTTGTTGTCCCAATATCAAGTCTCATCAATATCGGAAATATCCGTTATATTCAGTCGGTACTCATTGGACGAAATTTGGTTTAGTCAAAAACTAAAACAATTTTATTATTGTCATCATGTAATTAGCCTTTTATATAATTTTGTTATCTGGTTTTGTTATATACAGAAGGACAAATGCTTTCTGATGTTTTTGTCAAAATTCTTATCTCTCATTTATTGTTTGGTTTATACCTGTGTATATGGCTTTTTTTATGGAATGCTTTCAGGAGCATTTATTTCCATAACATGTTTTTCCATCCAGTCCATTTTTATATATATATATATATATATATATATATATATATATATAGTTGCCTGAAGATCGCGAGAACATGAAACTTGAGTAGCAACTTGAGTTATCCTTCATTGAGTGTTGACATTGTGAAGTGTTTGTTGCTCTGTCTTGATAGCCTAGGCATTGAGCACTTTAATTTACTGTGTAGCGAAGTATTTGCCTTTTGGCCTTTTTTTTTTCTTTACTTGTTCAGGGATTTTTTTCTTGTCTAAGCTATGAGGTCTTCTGGCAAGTTGTCTATTGGTCACACCAACATTGTTGGTTTTTTAGTATACATACATATATATATATATATATATATATGTGTGTGTGTAAACAGATGCATGTTACTAATGGTGCCAACCAGTGAAAAGCTAAAAAAATTTTAGTACACATTTTGCTTGATGTATATTTGCACACACACACACACACACACACACACACATATATATATATATATATACACACACACATCTTGATATATATTTTATACAGACATACAAAAATGAATGTAGTGTTAGTCATGCTTTCACGCAATGCTATTTGCTCCATTTTCTTTGAATATTTTTTTTTTCTATTATTTCTATGTGCATTGATTTTATTTTCAATCTTTTACTGAAATCTAACTTTTGTCTTTAGATTCAAGTTGTAAAACTAAATAGTAATGAAGATTACCATATAAATCAAAATGCATATTTGCACACACACACCCACACACATATATAACAAATATTGTATTTTGCCAAAAACAGTACACTGGGTTATTCCTGAAAGATGCTATATTCATTGTAATAAGTAAATAAATGATTAAATGTTCACTCATTTTGTCTTTACTCTCAGTTTCAATGAATTACATGCCCTTGACAAGACTCAATTGGAAAATATTCATTATAGCAATTTATTAATTACATACTAAAATTATACATTGAAATCTCCTAAATAGTGGTTATAATTCCATGAAACTCAGTAGAGAGAAGATAAGTGAACATGTAATTTTATTTATTTATTACATATATGTGCATATACATATTAATCATATGAAAAATATATGCTATATATATATATATATATATATATATATATATAACTTACATGCAATATCTTTAATGTAGCACATATATACTTCTTTACAAATAATTTGCAATATTACATTATCACTTTACATACATGTTATATATAGACAACATATTAATTTTATATAAATCATATATGTAATAATATGATTAATGTCTAAAATCACATAGATATTTGCATTATTTACTTTATTCGAACTGTTATCCTCATCTTCATTGCCACATTCACAATGTTTTGGCCGCTGTATCCTCCTCTTGCATTCTTCAGGTGATTGGAATTTCGAACTGAAACCTTTATTTCATTCAGCGAGGTACATTGCTCTAGTCCCACGTGCCATGCCTCTTCCAGATGTCTCAGTTATTTCCCTTTAACTCAACTTTCCAAGTTTTGGTTCACCACTGCTGTGGCCTGGTATTGAACTCACAACTCTTTGGATCTAGTCAATGGATCTAAACAATGTCTTTATCCCAGTGGATAACAATGCTGGTTAGATCCAGTGACTAGACCCAAAGAATTGTGAGTTCAATACCAGGCCACAGCAGTGGTGAACCAAAACTTGGAAAGTTAAGTTAAAGGGAAATAACTGAGACGTCTGGAAGAGGCATGGCACGTAAAACTAGAACAATCTATCCTGCTGGATGAATGAAAAGGTTTGTTTCGAAATTCCAATCACCTGAAGCAGGCCGGAGTGTGCAACAGCTGAAATTTTGTGAATATGGCAATGAAGATGAGAATAACAGTCCGAATAATGTAAATAATGCATGTAATCATGATACCTCATCTCAGAGAGATAGACAGATATCACATTGATATTCGCAAAGGATGATAGGTAATCAATATTTGATTAACAATGTCAGGATTGATTTCATTTAGTTTACAAAATTTCTTCCCATCATCCTCTGAACCAAATCCAGCATGCTTTTTTTGCTAATGAAATACTGATAACCAACAAATACATTAGACTCTTTATTTTTAAATTGTCTGATGAAAAAAAACCATTGACATTCAACAATGCATTAAAAAAGCAACTTGCTGCACATTCCTCATCATTTATATCAATGTGGAAAATTGCATATAAACATTCAATTTTGTTCAGATTTGCATACACTTACTTGAGGCTTTTAAGATTAGTTTAGGTTTGGAAATTTAGAGAAACTAAAATTAACAATCCTCATACGTTAACATTCCCCTACAAACATTCAATTTAGAATTTGAGTTTTACATTGCTAAACATTTTTATTAAAAAAAATAACATATCCTCTGATAAAGCCAATATTCCACAGACACACAAATACAAATGTATATGCACATGCCTATATATATATATATATATATATATATATATATATATCTTAGTGAGCCAGAAACTCTGCTCTACTTAATGTATTGAGTACTTTGGTTTTTCTTATTTTACTCGATTGGGGTTTTTTCTTTTGGCTAGGCATTGCAGTGTTGGGTGATTTTTTTTTTTTTTTTTTGACCTACTCAGATGTTTTAAGTCTTTTCTGTTTTTCCAAGATACCAGTTTGTTTAAATATATTTTTTATTTGCAAATTGTACTATTGTTTTTTTTTTTATACCAGTCGAGTATAAGTATTAAAAATAAACATTATATATATATATATATATATATAGTAAGAATAAAATTAAAAGCTTAAAATATAAAATAAGCTGAGAGCTGAATGCTAAAGTCAACAGACCCTTAATATAATGATATTATCAATACTAAAATCTGCTACTCAGAGTTTCATGTAATAACAATCGTCAATTCCATCTGATGATTGTTATTACATGAAACTCTGAGTAGCAGATTTTAGTATTGATAATATCATTATACTATATAGGTCTTCTTTAGTTTTGACTTTCAATATAGCTATTTTTTTCTTCATATACCTGATTCATCTTTTCTCTCTCGTTGTTGTACAACTTGATATTTTGGTTCTATTGTTCTACATTTTCTATGATGACTACACAGACAAATATGTAAGATTTTCAATCACAACCTTTTGAAAACTTATCATACTTATATATATATATATATAAGGTTGAATCAACAAGACTGACACAATTGTTAATTGTATTTTAATCTGAAATTTTCATCATATACGCATTAGGTTAAATGCTTTGACAAAGGAGGAGATTATATCAAAAGTAAATACTTTTGCATCATTAAGTTACAGATTTATTGACCTTATATATATATATATATATATATATATATATATATATATATACACACACACACACAAGTATAGGATTGGTGTATATGGAATAAATTCCAATAACCAACAAATACTATTCTTAAAAATTCAAAATTTATAATATATTAAAATCATGACAAAAATAGCCATTTTGTTTCAACACTTCTGGTAC